ATACATAAAAATATAAATACGACTTTTAAACAAAGTTAAAAACTTTGTGTCTGTCCTTCCTTTTCGCCGTTTTTCACCATCAGCAATCCTTTAAAAAAGTTCACAAAATTACGGAGGCGACCTTTCCTTTGAGGCTACTACCTCCGCAAGAAAATGTAAAAATAGGTAGAGCGTCCTCTGGTGTTTTTGCCACATTCACAATAATACATTTTAAGTAAAAATAAAATTCATGGCCGGCGTTATTTACATTTAATACATAAAAATATAAATACGACTTTTAAACAAAGTTAAAAACTTTGTGTCTGTCCTTCCTTTTCGCCGTTTTTCACCATCAGCAATCCTTTAAAAAAGTTCACAAAATTACGGAGACGACCTTTCCTTTGAGGCTACTACCTCCGCAAGAAAATGTAAAAATAGGTAGAGCGTCCTCTGGTGTTTTTGCCACATTCACAATAATACATTTTAAGTAAAAATAAAATTCATGGCCGGCGTTATTTACATTTAATACATAAAAATATAAATACGACTTTTAAACAAAGTTAAAAACTTTGTGTCTGTCCTTCCTTTTCGCCGTTTTTCACCATCAGCAATCCTTTAAAAAAGTTCACAAAATTACGGAGACGACCTTTCCTTTGAGGCTACTACCTCCGCAAGAAAATGTAAAAATAGGTAGAGCGTCCTCTGGTGTTTTTGCCACATTCACAATAATACATTTTAAGTAAAAATAAAATTCATGGCCGGCGTTATTTACATTTAATACATAAAAATATAAATACGACTTTTAAACAAAGTTAAAAACTTTGTGTCTGTCCTTCCTTTTCGCCGTTTTTCACCATCAGCAATCCTTTAAAAAAGTTCACAAAATTACGGAGACGACCTTTCCTTTGAGGCTACTACCTCCGCAAGAAAATGTAAAAATAGGTAGAGCGTCCTCTGGTGTTTTTGCCACATTCACAATAATACATTTTAAGTAAAAATAAAATTCATGGCCGGCGTTATTTACATTTAATACATAAAAATATAAATACGACTTTTAAACAAAGTTAAAAACTTTGTGTCTGTCCTTCCTTTTCGCCGTTTTTCACCATCAGCAATCCTTTAAAAAAGTTCACAAAATTACGGAGACGACCTTTCCTTTGAGGCTACTACCTCCGCAAGAAAATGTAAAAATAGGTAGAGCGTCCTCTGGTGTTTTTGCCACATTCACAATAATACATTTTAAGTAAAAATAAAATTCATGGCCGGCGTTATTTACATTTAATACATAAAAATATAAATACGACTTTTAAACAAAGTTAAAAACTTTGTGTCTGTCCTTCCTTTTCGCCGTTTTTCACCATCAGCAATCCTTTAAAAAAGTTCACAAAATTACGGAGACGACCTTTCCTTTGAGGCTACTACCTCCGCAAGAAAATGTAAAAATAGGTAGAGCGTCCTCTGGTGTTTTTGCCACATTCACAATAATACATTTTAAGTAAAAATAAAATTCATGGCCGGCGTTATTTACATTTAATACATAAAAATATAAATACGACTTTTAAACAAAGTTAAAAACTTTGTGTCTGTCCTTCCTTTTCGCCGTTTTTCACCATCAGCAATCCTTTAAAAAAGTTCACAAAATTACGGAGACGACCTTTCCTTTGAGGCTACTACCTCCGCAAGAAAATGTAAAAATAGGTAGAGCGTCCTCTGGTGTTTTTGCCACATTCACAATAATACATTTTAAGTAAAAATAAAATTCATGGCCGGCGTTATTTACATTTAATACATAAAAATATAAATACGACTTTTAAACAAAGTTAAAAACTTTGTGTCTGTCCTTCCTTTTCGCCGTTTTTCACCATCAGCAATCCTTTAAAAAAGTTCACAAAATTACGGAGACGACCTTTCCTTTGAGGCTACTACCTCCGCAAGAAAATGTAAAAATAGGTAGAGCGTCCTCTGGTGTTTTTGCCACATTCACAATAATACATTTTAAGTAAAAATAAAATTCATGGCCGGCGTTATTTACATTTAATACATAAAAATATAAATACGACTTTTAAACAAAGTTAAAAACTTTGTGTCTGTCCTTCCTTTTCGCCGTTTTTCACCATCAGCAATCCTTTAAAAAAGTTCACAAAATTACGGAGACGACCTTTCCTTTGAGGCTACTACCTCCGCAAGAAAATGTAAAAATAGGTAGAGCGTCCTCTGGTGTTTTTGCCACATTCACAATAATACATTTTAAGTAAAAATAAAATTCATGGCCGGCGTTATTTACATTTAATACATAAAAATATAAATACGACTTTTAAACAAAGTTAAAAACTTTGTGTCTGTCCTTCCTTTTCGCCGTTTTTCACCATCAGCAATCCTTTAAAAAAGTTCACAAAATTACGGAGACGACCTTTCCTTTGAGGCTACTACCTCCGCAAGAAAATGTAAAAATAGGTAGAGCGTCCTCTGGTGTTTTTGCCACATTCACAATAATACATTTTAAGTAAAAATAAAATTCATGGCCGGCGTTATTTACATTTAATACATAAAAATATAAATACGACTTTTAAACAAAGTTAAAAACTTTGTGTCTGTCCTTCCTTTTCGCCGTTTTTCACCATCAGCAATCCTTTAAAAAAGTTCACAAAATTACGGAGACGACCTTTCCTTTGAGGCTACTACCTCCGCAAGAAAATGTAAAAATAGGTAGAGCGTCCTCTGGTGTTTTTGCCACATTCACAATAATACATTTTAAGTAAAAATAAAATTCATGGCCGGCGTTATTTACATTTAATACATAAAAATATAAATACGACTTTTAAACAAAGTTAAAAACTTTGTGTCTGTCCTTCCTTTTCGCCGTTTTTCACCATCAGCAATCCTTTAAAAAAGTTCACAAAATTACGGAGACGACCTTTCCTTTGAGGCTACTACCTCCGCAAGAAAATGTAAAAATAGGTAGAGCGTCCTCTGGTGTTTTTGCCACATTCACAATAATACATTTTAAGTAAAAATAAAATTCATGGCCGGCGTTATTTACATTTAATACATAAAAATATAAATACGACTTTTAAACAAAGTTAAAAACTTTGTGTCTGTCCTTCCTTTTCGCCGTTTTTCACCATCAGCAATCCTTTAAAAAAGTTCACAAAATTACGGAGACGACCTTTCCTTTGAGGCTACTACCTCCGCAAGAAAATGTAAAAATAGGTAGAGCGTCCTCTGGTGTTTTTGCCACATTCACAATAATACATTTTAAGTAAAAATAAAATTCATGGCCGGCGTTATTTACATTTAATACATAAAAATATAAATACGACTTTTAAACAAAGTTAAAAACTTTGTGTCTGTCCTTCCTTTTCGCCGTTTTTCACCATCAGCAATCCTTTAAAAAAGTTCACAAAATTACGGAGACGACCTTTCCTTTGAGGCTACTACCTCCGCAAGAAAATGTAAAAATAGGTAGAGCGTCCTCTGGTGTTTTTGCCACATTCACAATAATACATTTTAAGTAAAAATAAAATTCATGGCCGGCGTTATTTACATTTAATACATAAAAATATAAATACGACTTTTAAACAAAGTTAAAAACTTTGTGTCTGTCCTTCCTTTTCGCCGTTTTTCACCATCAGCAATCCTTTAAAAAAGTTCACAAAATTACGGAGACGACCTTTCCTTTGAGGCTACTACCTCCGCAAGAAAATGTAAAAATAGGTAGAGCGTCCTCTGGTGTTTTTGCCACATTCACAATAATACATTTTAAGTAAAAATAAAATTCATGGCCGGCGTTATTTACATTTAATACATAAAAATATAAATACGACTTTTAAACAAAGTTAAAAACTTTGTGTCTGTCCTTCCTTTTCGCCGTTTTTCACCATCAGCAATCCTTTAAAAAAGTTCACAAAATTACGGAGACGACCTTTCCTTTGAGGCTACTACCTCCGCAAGAAAATGTAAAAATAGGTAGAGCGTCCTCTGGTGTTTTTGCCACATTCACAATAATACATTTTAAGTAAAAATAAAATTCATGGCCGGCGTTATTTACATTTAATACATAAAAATATAAATACGACTTTTAAACAAAGTTAAAAACTTTGTGTCTGTCCTTCCTTTTCGCCGTTTTTCACCATCAGCAATCCTTTAAAAAAGTTCACAAAATTACGGAGACGACCTTTCCTTTGAGGCNTTCTTTATTTAATCTTGTCCACAGCTTATAGACAGGCATACGCGTAGTCCTATATATATGTGTTAAGCATTATAAAACAAATTTCGTAATGTAAATTTTGAAATAAAGAAAAATACATTTTATTTTTATAATAGATCCGTTTAATTCAAACATATCAAGTTTCACTTCACGAAAAAATGCATTTATTAGCATTAGTTGACTTAAATATCGAATTGTTGAAATAATTTAAATTTTATTACTCACGATTGTTTTCATTCTCTTTAACACTTCTATCAATATAATAAATAAAGAAAATTTTGTCTTATGAATAAATTATAAACAATGTTGAAACACTATACACATAATTATTACTGAAATAAGTTCTTATAAGGCATTTCAATAAAATATTTTTAATAAACTATATTTTCTTATTTTTATTTGTAAAATATGTTTTTTTTTCTTTAGTTTATACGCCACTATTTAAGAAAGAAATATTAGTTATTGTTAAAAATGAATATTTCAACATAGAATCCTTTGGCTTATCAAGAAGTCAAGGACTTTCCCAAGAACCGGTAATAAGCTTATCGGCCTATAACTTTTCGCAATAGATGTATCAATATTGTTCCCTTTAGGGATAATTACAAGGTTTGCCTCCTTCCAGATGGTTGGAAAGAGGTTAAACTGGAGGCATTGATTATATATCAGCACCACATATTCTGTGTTTGTTTCCCATACATTATAGACTATTTCTGCTACAATATTATCTGGACCAGGTGCCTTTCCTGGTTTCAGCCTATAAATGGCATTCCCCACTTCCTCCCGTGTGAACAATGAATCCGACTTGCTTCTATACCGGTCTTTACTTCTTTCTCTTATGATTCTATGTTTTTGCGTATCTGTGTCAAAATCATCCTGAGGGAAAAATGTATCCATTAATTTATTTATGGTATCATCTATACCGTCGGTATACGTCTCGCCATCTTGTATTGATGTTAGGAAAGTCGGGGTTTTAACTTCCTCGCGCAGGCCTTGTAGATGAAGCCCCAAGGCTTAGATTAACTTTCGGTGCAGAATTCTCTCCAAGATTTCAGCTTCTGCCTTTTTATATTTTCCTTGTATATTTTACTGTGATTGAGATAATCTTGTTTTATTTCCCTATGGGCCTCTTCGTTACGGGCCCTCTGATACCTTCTTCTTAACTGATTATTACGTCTTCTTAACTCTGTAAGTTTTTTCGACCACCATGACACTGTCTTTTGTCCTTTCCGTTTCCTTGGTATTGTTTGCTCACATGTTGCAATTAGGGTATTGTGGAAGGATAAGCTGTGTCCTCTACTTCCTTCCGATCTTTACAGTCTTGTAGTTTTGTAGTGTCTATAGCTCTCTCTACCTTGTTTTTGAACTCAGTCCATTTAGCTTTGTTGGTAGCGTAATATGCACTCACTTCATTTTCGGTTCAGTTGTCACCACCCACTTCGAAGAAGATGTAGCTGTGGTCTCTAAGACTACACAGCTGAGAGACATGCCAGGACTTTACTGTGCTGAGGACTATGCTGTTACAGATGGTGAGATCTATCCAACTCTGCCCAATCGGGCCATCGAAGGTAGGCAGTGAGTCCGGCGGATTTAAGATATAGAGGCTGTTGGCGTTTACGAAATCTAAGACCTGATCGGCTCTCTCGTCATTATCGGGATCTCCTCAAAGTTCTGAATGAGAATTAAAATCACCACATATAATAATATGCTTGTGGGTGAAACGTTGGGTTAGCTCATGCAGTCTATGTAGCATTGGAATAAGATCTGTCGTGATAGGACAGTAGGCACTTATAAATAAGTAATTAGATCGTCCATTTCCCACCTCCAGACAGGTAATAAACTTGTCACTTTCCTCGGTGTGGAAAACCACCGGTATCATTGGATTGCTGATGATTGCAGCTGTTGATGGACAGCAGTTTTTGTTATATAAGGTACTATACGTCGTACGTAGGCATGCAGGATTACCACTTTTACAATAGGGCTCCTGAACAAGCACCAAGTCAGCCTCTTCCAGTGTCTTACATAAGGTAGATGTTCCACTAATCGATCTATGTACATTAATTTGTATTACTTTAGACATTCGATCTTGATTATGATGTATGGCGTTACTCCCCATAGTCTGTTTTTGCTATTATCATTTTAAGTATTTTCTGAATTAGTGGGCAACGTTTCGAGCAGGCACTGTGACCTGTGTCCTTCAATTTTTTCCGTTTGCAATTTATGCATTCCGTCCTCCCTTTGTTTTTACTATCCTTATACTTATAACTGTGTCCACATTGACTACATGTGGGTTCTTCCACTTTGCAGTCACGGGCTATATGCCCAATTCTACAGCAATTAAAACATTGGGTAACAGAGATATAATCCTCAGCCCCACACCTGGACCACTCCAGGTTGACTTTTTTCAATTTTAGGATTAATCTTCTTACCACTGGGCTAACTTCAATAACCCAGTTTGTGGTGCTTTTGTTTCTGTTGCCAAATTGGAACTTGGTTTCCACTTGACTTCGGAATTCAGTTTCTCTGGTAGAATAATTCAGGATTTCATTTTGATGGTATAGACATTCAATCAATTCATCTTTAGGACCGCCTGTCCCCACTCCGTACAATACTATTCTTGGTCGTCTCTTGAATGTTGTTTTTTTATTTCTTCATCATATAAGAATCTCATTTATATATACGTTAGTTGCCACAATGTATTGTTTTTAATTTATTTAAATAAATTAATATTGAAAATAATGTAAAATATTTTAAGTGTTACAATTTGAATTTATGTTATTAAAAAAATGGTTTCTATGTAAAATTGACAAAATAAAAGTCATCTTGACTTTACTAGAGTTCTTTCGTCAATATGTCCAATGACATAGAGCATCCATATTTAATTATGTACTGTAGATGCTATTTTCAGTTTTAGTAAATACAGCATATAATTTTACTGTATTCGAAAATATTTCTATTGTATAAGTATAATAGAATAGTATAATATTTCTTATGTTTCTAAATGCTATTTATTTAAAATTTTATCGTATACATTCTAGAATATTTGAATATTATGCAGAAAGATGTTTCAGTATTCTAATAAACATTTAATATCTGCAACATCTCTTTGCAATTGATGTTTAAGAAAATACTTTGGTAGAAATTTTAGGTGATAATCTATGTTTATAAAGGAGAAATCTAGTCAAAATAATTTTTCCTCTCTATTGCACTTTTTATCTCTAGCTTTATTAAGCGAAAGATTGCAGAAAATAAGTACAAGTTATTAAGCAATAACCTAGACGTTTTACATTCAGAGAACAAGTTAAGTAAAATGAGAGAACATTTTTAAAAGTAGTTATTAACAGAAAGTATTGTAAAAATTAAAACGTACTTTGTAATATGAAAAGACAGATTTCATTATTAACGCAAAATATTTCTTTTAATACAGCTAGTGATTTTAAATCGGGTCCAGCAGTGGCTAAGCGGTCTTCGTACCCTGAACACTGGGAATTCGGTCGTGGGTTATTACCTCGCTCGGACGGGTTGGCCACGTGGTGTTTTCGGAGTTTTCTCCACGTCTGTAATACCTAAATAGGAGTCAGTTTCCTTTAAAAAGACCTCCTGGAAGACACTCCCCTAGGCAGTTCGCCCAAGTATTGCATTGCCATAATTAAACAAACAAAAAAGATTTTAAATTATTAGGAGTCATTATGCAACAAATTGAATTCAACTTTTCAAAATTTAATACAAATAATTTAGAAAGTTTACAAATCTGGCAAATTATATTAGATGAATTTTTCTTTTGAAATCAAAGCCTGTAAACGATGGTGCGACTGGGTGCTGTGAGATGAGGCTTAACATATCCGGGATGAAATATCGCCAAAAATTCCTTGGATTTTCGACTCGTTCGGATTTGGTTCCAGATTCCCTACATCCAATTTAACAGAATTAACAGAATTTGCGTGTAACAGAATTTGCGGGTTGCGTAAACTTTGGTAACTATTCGCGAAGAATGTCAGTTCAATCCGAAATGTTCCTCTGTCAAATTCTCCAATACCGGTTGGCAAACGTAATTACGAGAAATATTTGATTTAAATTACAAATCATTTTATGAATTCATAACAGAAAAACAAAGCATTTGTGTATTCTTTCTCGTTATCATCTGCTCTACTCTTCAATTAAATCTACTATTCTACTACTATTAGTCTCATTTACTGTTTTTAAACATTGCATTGCATTTACTAAAAATTTTTATTAAAATAACTTTTCAATACATCGGAATAGTCTAATGGAGTGTTTCCCAACATTTTTTGTGCTATGCCCAGGGCCGGATCATCGCATAGACAAATGAGACAAATGTCTAGGGCTCGGTTTTTAGAAGGGCCCGGTTAAATTGTTTATTTTGAAAGATATTGATGAAATTTTTAAAATTCTTAATACAAACATAACGGATGGCGACGACGAGGACGTATCAATTAACACTGCATTGCTAAAAAATTAGTATAGTGGCGATATTGATACAGAAGAATTGGACTAGGAATTGTTGCAATTTAAATTAATTTGCAAAAGCCAAAAAATAACGTTGCCATCTGATATGCTGCATTTTATAAAGAGCACAAAACTAGTATCAACATTTCCAAATATAGAAATAATATTGCGAATATATTTATCTTTGCCTATATCAAATGCGTCTGGTGAAAGGTCATTCTCAGTATTAAAACGTGTAAAAAATTATTTACGAAACTCACTGAGTGAATCAAAATTAAATTCTTTAGCTTTTCATACATCGAACAAAATGCTTTGGATAATATTAAGTACTAGCTGCAAGGACCCGCTTCGCTGGGTTTTTATTTGTTCGTACATTTGTATGTAATATAGTTTTTTTTATATATATAAAAGACTGTTTTTCTAAGTAATCTGGAATCTAGCTGCAAGAACCCGCTTCGCTGGGTTTTTAAAAAGTAACGACAGTGAAGATTAAGATAATTACATTATAGCCAATTTTACCCGTTTTCACAGAATGCAAGAATTAGGTCCCCCGTTTCCAGACTAATTACAGACTTGGTCCTGATTCTATTTCTGAACGTCTCCTGTTCACGTCAAGTCAAACGAACTATTTTCAACGTTTCTGGAACGTTTACAATCGAACCAATATTCGAATTTTATTCGAACAAAACATTCGAAATAGAAAGCCACTTTCAACCACTTTCAAGCCCATATCTCCCGCACCCTTATAGCTATCGAGACGCAACCACCCCTATGCACGAATGGAGACTTGGGGCTACCACCNCTTTGCCTATATCGAATGCATCTGGTGAAAGGTCATTCTCAGTATTAAAACGTGTAAAAAATTATTTACGAAACTCACTGAGTGAATCAAAATTAAATTCTTTAGCTGTTTTATACATCGAACAAAATGCTTTGGATAATATTAATTATGATGAAATAATTGATAATTTTGCTGAATTAAAGACTAGAAAACAGAATTTTTAAATAAAGTTTATTCATATTTATATACTTACTTTTTTAAAACTATCTTGGCTTTTATTTAAATTATCTTTTTCATTATTCAATTTATCTTTCACGGGTAAAATATTATATTATTTAAATATTAATAATAAAAAAAGATTAAATTAAACAATTAATATTTTAAGGTAATATTGTTATTGTATAACAACTTTTGTTAAACATTTAATAAAATAAATTTCAATGTTTTAAAAGTTATAAACAAACTGTTCAAAGTTTTCCAGAAAAACTAAAATTTATTGTTGTATATTAAAAATTTTTTATTAATAGAAATTTAAGATTTGTTTTAGTTTTTCACATTATTTATTTTTGTTTTATTTATTGTTTTATATTTTTAATGTGCTTTCTTTTTTGTGTGAGAAGGAAGGGGCCCGGTAAGAAAAAAATGTCTAGGGTCCGAAAGCGAGTTAATCCGGCCCTGGCTATGCCCCACCTAAGCGTTTCTAAAATTCTTATGCCCCTCTAACATATACAGCGGTTATACGGTTAACTTAAACTCTGGATGAGTCCATTTTCGAATTGCCTCCTTAACAATCGAATTGCCTCCTGTGAGGCGTGGACCCCACGTTGGTCTAATGATTTATTTGAGAATTGGGTACTTTTTTGACAAAAATTTCAAAAGTAGAGAAGTTCCTTTCATTTTGTGTTGGTGTTGGTTTAATGCTAAATAGACCATTTTTAAGAGTTTTATCTGCAACTTTATAAATATTTATTTGCCGAGATAATAAACTAAAGCCACTCTATCGTTTTATAGAATCTATTCTTCAGACAGTGGCCGTTGTTCAGAAGTTGTTCACAAAAATTCATTTTTTATATAATAATAATAATAATAATGAAAATTAATTGATGAGATCATTTTCATCAAATCACCACAGAACACATCTATCAGCAAGATTCATGGGCTTATTACTTTCACATTTAAATGCTTCAGAAAATTCTTTCATGTTTGAAAGTGGCCCTAAGACCCTAAAAATTAAAANATATACTTACACTTGCATATGATATAAAAAACATTTGTTCTGGAGTATAATTTTCAAAACCTATTAAAGTATGAGTATTTGATGTTTTATTGTTATTTATATATTCTTTATATGCCTGTAATAATAAAAAAATATATATAATTTAATTTTAAGAAATACTTTTAAAAAATACATGTTAATGTATAGCAATGAAAATATTTTATTATAAAAACAATAAAAATTATTATTTTAATATAACTGTTTGTAAATGTATCATGCAAAGTTCTTTCAAAATTTTTATATATTTGTATCTTTTTAACCTGAATATAATTTAAATTAAATTAAAACTTTTAATTAAGCAATTGCTAACCAAATAAGCATGCCTCAAACCTCCATTGTCTGCCATGTTTTCATTTATTGTTTTCTTCCCATTAATCTACAATTAAATAATAATATATATTATAACCATTTAAGTATATTATATTATAAAAATAATAAAATTTTACAATAAATTACCTTAACTCCATTTAATATTTCATATGATCCATATTGATTTATCATACACTGTATCCTTTCAATATATTCTTTATTTGAATTTTCTGACCATAAATTCATCACGTTTCCAATGCTGCTCCTTGTAACATCTAAAGATTTTTAAATATAATTTTTAAGAGTTATATATACAAAATATAAAATTAATAGAGAAATTCGAATAATAGAATTCATAATTAAATTTCATTTCATTGTAAATTTATTCAGCTATTTTGAAAAGAAATTGTATCAAAATGAAGGGGAAAATTGACAAAAATTCATTATTTCTTATTGTTATCGACAATTTAAAGTAATAGATATGATTTTTCATATAAAAATAATTACTGTAAAAATTCAAAATAAGTTAATAATAAAACATACCTCGTCTATCAAGAGAATGAACAATTTCATGTGCTAGAATAAATCCATATCTAGCAAAATTCACATATCTAGGAATAAAAAAACAATAATAAACAAAATAATTTATAATTAAAATAATAAATAGCTTAATACGAAATACTTATAAGTATCTAATGCTTAGACTTTTGTGTCGATATATTTGATTTCTGTTTATCTTTCATTTATTTAATACAAAGAATAGAAGACTATTCATTTTTCTAAATCACTATAAATAATTTAGAACGTTCTTTTATATCACAAAATCATTGATGAATTAACTAACCATTAGGCTGAATACGTTTATAAACTTGGAAGGGAGGAGGCCCAGAAGAGAAAAAAAGACACAAAACTAATGATTTAATTGATATATTTTTAACGTAATTTAATGTTACATTATTCCATTCAACAGAGAGTGGGACAGGGGGATCCTTAATACACAAAGCCTTTGTTTGCCTATGCTTAAGATAGGCACACCGAATCACTAGGAAACATTGAAGTTTTTCTTCTTTTAATGTGTAATAGATGAAGAGAAGGAAGACAAAAATCTTAGAAAGGATATAAAGTTCTTTTGTAGTATTAGATAATTTAATATCAAAACAATTAAAAATTTATTTACTTACGCAGGATAATTGGCATTCAACATAAAATCAAGTTGAAAAGACTGAGTAATAACTGAAAAATGTGAAAGATTTATAATTAGAAAATATTGAAATAATACTAAAAATATATGTTTTTTTTACATTTGTAAAAGGTTAAAATATATAAGCTTGACTTATTATTTAAAAAGATCTTACCAACTTTATTCTGATGTGATATATAATGTGGAGAAATTCCCGTTGCTGAAATTTTGCTGTAAGTATCCGTTTCCCATCTATCAAGATAGACTTTTCTTATTATTCCTAATATTAATTTTAAATCTGTACACAATAATATTTAATAACATTCCTTACGCTTCTCTTTTATTGTGTTTGGACAGAGTTTCAAGAACTTTTCGATAATGAAATTTCTCTAAATTAATTATATTTTCATAAGGATTCGAAGTCATAATTGGCAACTAATAATGAATATCATAAGATAGAATAAGATTTATTTAAATTTAATATTATGTACACAATAATTATTAATACTCACGTCCTTATAATAGTAAATAAACATGTCAGTATTTTCAATAATTTCGGGAAATCTTGTTGTTATTATCATTTTTTTAATCTAAAAAGATATATTAATGGACATTATTAGATTTTATAAATGCCTATATACTCTATGAAATAATGTGTATGAAAAAATAAGGAAATAATTGCCGAAATTGAATTGGCTAAGGCAATGCTACACATGGGTGACCTGCCAAAGAGAAGTACCTTTTGATAGGAGTTTCTATGGGAAACTGGTCCCTATTAGAGTATTATAAACGTGAAGAAAACCCGGAATAATCTACGTGGCCTACTCTTTGGTTGGGCTCGAACCCACGTCAAACTAATGTTCGGGCTTGAGTAGACGAAACCACTCAGCCACTGATAGCCGAAATAATTAAAAATTAAAATATACAAAATAAGTACATGAAAAGAACATCTATAAATATGTCTTCTGAAACTTACCTTATCATTAATTACTCTTTTTGTTTCGGCATCCAACCAAGATTTATTACTCAATGAATGCGACATGAATTCCTTTAAGTAATCAGTAATTTCGCTGGTAAAATTTATTTTTTGTAACTAAAATATAAAAATATTAAATTGAATATAAATACATATAATTTGTTACTTACTTCTTTTATTATCTACAGTTCATTTCAAACAGAAATTATTATTTTCTTAACAATAAAAATATTAATTAATCTCTCACACTATTAAACATGATATGAAGGCATGCTCTTCAGTTCAAGATACAAACATAATGGAAGATAGTTATTTAATTTCATGAAATGTTAAGAAATTCTTATGAAAAACACTTTATTAAACTAGATATTAAGAGTTTAATCAAATCTCTAAACTTGATGGATATAATATAGGCTAATTCTTATGTAAATACAAGAAAAAAATTGATAGATTTTAGACAAAAATAAGCCTTTTTCTTATATATTTTTTAGAAATAAATACGTCATATATGTGTAATCAGAAAATAGCAATCTTAGTGTAGTGGTTAATAAATTTTCTCCACAAGAATTGTATTTCCTTAAACAAATTCATAAAAACTTACTTGAGTTTTCATGTAATGATAATATAAGTAGTCCAGAGCATAACCAAATGATTTGCTTAATTTCTCCATCAAATTTATTGTAGAAGAAATAACTTTTCCCGTTTCATTCGANTCAATGCGAGGAAATTAATACATTATAAATACATATTCGCTGGCGTATAAACTAGTTAACTATACTTAACGAAGTATTCATGACTGACATCATAATGTCAGTAAATTAGAATCCAATTTGTGAACGTACACGATGGCATTTCTGGTTTATATATTTACAGCGATTACTACGATAAAAGTTTATTTAATGCAGGGTAATTCTTGCAAAACATTACAAATATACGTACAGACACACATACAAACATTTATATACAGACTACATATTATTTCTAATGGAACAATCTCTGTTTATGCAAAATTCTTTTTATAAAAAAAAAATAAAATAAAGACTTACCTGGCCGATATGAGACGATAATTATCAAAGCTATTAAAGTCGATGCAAATAATAATACAAGTATTATAATTACAGTCACAATCTTTTTGCCTGTCCATGTATTAGAAATACCTAAAAATCTATTATTATACAAATTTCATAAGATATATTGTTTTATTTGAACGATTGTACTAATTTCTCAATAGTCATAAACTCAGTTTCTGTTTCATCCATCATTACATCACTGGCTTCACTTTCCTTACGTAAATAAAAAATTGTTTATTAATTAATTAATGAAACAATTTAATTATTAATAATCTGGAATTTATAAACTTACATCTAATAGTTCTTTATCAATTTCCTCTATTTCGTTTAATAATTCTTCGAAATTTTCCTGTGTTAAATCAGCGAGGAAAGGCAAATATGTTGTTCGTAATACGCGATTTTTTTCATTATTTTGTGGTGTTAGAAACGTTTTCATGATCTAAAACAAAATAAACGATTATTTATTTTACATCTCAATAAAACCAATAACTTTTTTTAAAATAAATTCACTGTAATAATATTTCTTTTTGTATTCCTTCTGTCAGGTTGGACGGAAATTGAAAATATTGGCATATGAGCTCCCATTTTCATTGCTTTGGCATAACTTTCTTCCCAGTTATAAATATATTCTCTCCAATTTTCGTCAATTATTGAACATCCTCCCAATTTATAAATAAGTATTTTTAGCCATTCGAGATCCTTTTCTTTTACATATTCTGAAATAAATCAAATAATATATTTAAGAAACCGCGTTATAATTTATATTTGCGAGGTTGCGGCCGAAGTTTTCATCTGTAAAACGTGAACGTCGAACATCGAACGCCATTTACAAGATAGCGGCGCTCGACGTTCTACGTTCACGTTTGAGAGATGAAAACTTCGGCCGCAACCTCGCTAATTCCTTTGAATGAATGCTTTTTTTAAGATACATACAATTAAATCTGATCTGACTATATATAATTTTAATATATTATAATAGTAATATGATATAATCAATGAAATACTTACGATAACTAGTGTAACTGTTATATACAATGAAGAATTGTTCAAGAGGATCTGGTAAGTTAGGAATAATCCAAGCATCGTCGATAATATCTGATTAATTAATAATGAATTATTAAATTGTAGTTTTTAATCTGTAAGGAAGAAAAAAAAGGATGTTTACCTTTTAGATTTTTTATAAAATCGCTTCTAATTTCACTAATTTTATCATTTCTATTAACATTAGCGTATTTTCCACACGCAAACGTGTAAAAATCTTCACAAGGATCTATAGATTCGTTGATTCCCCTTTTTAAATCTAATGCTAAAAAAATATACATTTTAAATATTAATTATAAGAAATTCATAAGATGTAAATTGTAAAATTTGGCAATTATATTAGAATAAATTATTATTATTATTATTATTATTATTATTTAATTTTACCTGCTTCTAAACAGCTGATAGACCTGCAGACTTCATTCTTTTCTGTAAACAATGTTAAAATTTAGTTATTTTTTAATACAAATATTATATCACTAGGATTAAAATTCTATAATTAAATTAAATAATTTCTTTTTATCATTAATATCTAATCGTTTTAACAGAATTTAACAGAAAAATTGTACACTTCATTAAAATACTTCAGTGAGAAGCATAATTTAAGCATAATACTTTATAGTATTTTATAAAAAAATTTGAAAATTAATTAATACACTAAATAAATCTGACGATAGAGAGGAATGTCATCAATATAATCAATATATATATATACCTACATATATAAATACC